CAATTGCCCTCCTAGTCATACATGTAGTTTCGGCCCTGGACGTTGGATCCTCTACATTTTATTTGATAAATAGTGTCCGTTTAAAAATAACATGTGGAAAATGATAATTATATGTTGTTGTTTTCTAGAGTCATGATCCATGTTATTTGATGATTATTATTTATGATGACAATGGTGATAATGAATGTAACGCCTATAGATCTCAACTTTATTTCCATAAATAGCAAGTTATATGTTGTTGTTTTCTAGAGTCATGATCCATGTTATTTGATGATTATTATTTATAATGACAATGGTGATAATAAATGTAACGCCCATAGATCTCAACTTTATTTCCATAAATAGCAAGTTATATTTGATGCATTTATTTATTATTATTTGTATTAAATTAAGCATTAAAATCTAAGTATAAGCTATGGGGAATTTGTTCGATTTTTAATTTTAAAGATCGAATTTATTTAGCCAAGTATCAGTTTTATTTTTAAGATGAAACCGAGCTTTGGAAATCCTAATTTTATTTAAGTCGGAGCGAAGCCCGGACGAGTCAAGTCTCAGCCTAAGCATTTTCTAGCATGCCCAAAATTCGAACAACGTAGTCTGGATAAAAGTCGATTGATTTTTATTTTGGCCCAAGTAGTATTTTTAGTCTAACATTTATTATTTTGGCCTAACATTATTTTTCTAGCCCAAGCATTTTAAGTCATGAGGCCCAATCCCAAATTTATTTAGATGGCCCAAGTTTTATGTATATAAATTTAAAAGAGGAAATTGCACCACATACTAACTCATTCAAAATATATAACACTTTTATACTCCTTAAAGTCTTATTTTTAAAAATACCAAAAAGGCTTAAAATATTTTCAATTATACCTAAATTACGTAACCGTTATTAACTCATTTTTAATGGAAATGAGATATTTAAGTGAGATAAAATATGCATTTACCTAAAAAAGAGGAAACAAAAAATTAAATTGATTATCCTAAATTTATGAGATCTATAATTATCTCTCTCTCTCTCTACTTTTTCTTTCTCCATCTCATGTCCTTCTTATTCTACAATTCCTCTAACACCAATTTCTTCGAGGCAATATAATAAAATCTCCATTTGTTTCTTCTTCTCTCCCCATCTCATCTCCTTCTTCTACAAGTCCTCTAAGACCAATTTCTTCGGAGGGAATATAATAAAATTTCCACCTTCGTTCTCCATACTAATTCATCTGGTTGCAGAGCAAAAACAAAATCAATTAAATAAGAACTACACACTTCTGTGTTTCGTTCCCCAAATTTCCCTCCAGGCGTGACGACGAACCCTGGCTGAGGGCCACCAAATTTCCGGCGAGTTTCAGTACGTCTGAGACCGTGAGGCTTTCACCTGGCCGAACCAGTTTCGGCGAGAACCAGAAGAATCCGTCGCGTGTTTCCTAGAATTTGCCCCTTTTTTCTTTCTTTTTTTTTTCTTGTATGATTTGATTTTGATTTTAATAATAACAGCTTTGAGCTTTTGTGGGTGTTTAAGAAGTTGTAACCTTTGCACATATGCGTTGAAAATTTATATAATTCGAATGTATATTTATAAAACCGAGTTGGGTATATGTTGAGTATATCCGAGTATATCCAAAATAACTTTTCTCTGGTTATCTGTTTAATATCTCCTTTTTTTCTTGGGTTATTTGTTGGGTATATCCGAGTATATTCGAAGTAACTTTTCTCTGGTTATCTGGTGGGTATATCCGAGGTAACTTTTCTCTCTATCCGAAATATCTTTTATCTTTCTATGCTACACACTTTGTCACTAGCTTTCTGCACATGTTACACATTTTTATTATTTTTGAAGTATATTTTTGGTGTATGTTGGTATATTTCTGCACCTGCGTGAATTATAATATTGCAAATACACTGAATATATACTAACATAAACTCAGAATATACTACCTGGCGGCTGTTTGAATTACAATGTACAAGTTGCGTGAATTAAGGAAGTTATAAATGAATCAGTTATTATTTTTCTTTTCTCTCTCTTAATCAGTTTTTTTTTTTTTTTGGTTTATAATGGCGGATTTCACGCAAGTTACAAGATAACTAATTTAAATGCAATGTCTTAAATAAAATAGTTGTTTTAGGTATTGTTGAAAATACTTTTGCATTAAGGCAAAATTGAAAATACTTTTGTATCTGAGATAGGAGAGACAAAAATTTCCCAATTTAAAAATCATGGTAAAAAATGATTCAACTTTTGAAGTAGTCAAAATATCACAACCACCATGCATTTATTGCAAGTGCACCTTATAGTAATTCTAGGGAGCCAACAGTTAGCTCTCTTATGGAGCCAACACCCAATTAAATTCCTCCATGTGTGGATGTCCCACATAGAGCCCATGTAGGACATCCCAACATGGGGGAATTTAATTGGGTGTTGGCTCCATAAGGGAGCCAACTGTTGGCTCCCTAGAAGGACTGGTGTACCTTATGAGACAAGGTTGGGAAATATCCAAATTTCCCACCTACCATGTTCCCTAACCCTAGTTTTCCCTCTTCTATACATAAGACTACTCATTCACCTCATTTCATATTTCCTCTTCATTTCTCTTCTCCATTTTCTTAGGGTCCGTTTGGTTGGCCGGATTAGGAGGGATATCCGACTTATTGTTATTATTTCATGTCCATAAACATGTTTGGTTCAGACAGTATAAGCCCGGTAAAATAGGGAGGCCCGGTTATTTATTAGCAGCTTTTAGTATTAGGTATCCCACCTCATAGGTGGGATGTGTAATCCAACTTTTTGTTTTTTTTTTATCTAAATTTACAAAACAACCATTCATCTTCTCCGTGGCTTCCTCTGCCTTGATTCATCTTCTTCTTTTTGTTTATGCAACAGCAACAACACCCTTCTTCATCTTCTTCTTCTTCTTATTTTTTTATTATTATTTTTTTTTTTGTTTTCTGAAGTTCATGAACACCCTTCCCTTTTCTTCGTGTCTTTCTGCCTTTCCTTCTTCATCTTCATCTTTTTTTTTTCCTAAATTTCATTAACAACACCACGCTTCTTCATCTTCTGCTTTTTTTTTTTTAGCACCGAAGCCTTTGGATCTAGTGAAAATTAAGCTTTTCTTTTCATTAAGCTACGGATCTAGTAAAGCTAAATTTTGGATTGGCCGATTTTCTCGGCCCGTCAATCTCAAAGGCCGCCGCGATCTTCAATTAGGCTACGGCCCGTCGTGAGCGATCTCCTGGCGGCGTTGCTCTCCCGCTTGTGCGCATTCTGGTGGTCACGGAGGGCCTGCGAGGGCAGAACTTTCGGATGCAGTTGCTTGAGGGTAGACAGAGGGCGATGAGTTGCTCGACGGGTCGAGTTTCAGACGATGAGCGTTAAGCTTGAAGAGGATCCGCCATTTTTACTTTCCCGAGCTCCATTTTCTCAACCTGTGTTTGACCAAGTTTTGAAAATTTAATATTAAAGGAAAGGTGGAAATGTAATTTCAGCTTGAAGGAAATAATTTTCATTTTTAAACCAAACAAATTAATAGCCTACAATAAATTGATGAATAGCCTTTGAAATAATCAAAAAGATAATATCATGCTCAATCCAATAATTCAACCAAACTGACCCTAGCAAATATGTGTAAGTCCTAAAATATTAAAACTACAAGATTTCTAAGCCTAGTCATCATAAAATCGAGCCCTAGTGCGAGAACCGAGCCAAGCTAATTGTCCCTAGCCTTAAAATAAAAATCTGGCCACTTTCCGGCTTGCCCTCCCGTTTTCTGGCGAGCCTAGCTCCTCCGGCCAAGCCCTTGCTGCTCCCAGGCCCCAGCCCACGCTGCAGCCCTGCTCCTAGGTCCGTCCGTGTGCGCCAACCCTCAGCATGCAAGTCAGTCCGCACGAGATGTGCGCACGTCGTGCCCAGCTGCCTGGACGTGCGCCCCACGCCGAGCTCCCGCGCCAGAGTGCCCCAGCGCCCAAGCTGCGCGAACCTAGCTTCAGCCTAGCAACTTCTGATTTTTATTTTGAGTTCTTCAAGAGTTAGACCACAAACCCTCTTTCCTATAGCTTAGACAACAATTATAGTTGATTTTAAAAATGATAATTCATGAATTTGAGTGAGGAATGAAAATATATAGATTTTATGAGTTTAAAGGCTTGATTTTTATATCTCGAGTTATATAAGTGATAAGTTCGTGATTCTAACTCTCTAAATCTTATCTTATTGTCTTAAGGTTGAGGATAAAATTTGGTAGTTTTTTGAGTCCGTTTGCTATATGAACGGAAATTGTAGATCTAGATCTATAATGCCCGATATTAGTTGATTGAGTTAGAGGTTGAATCTTGCTGTGATATTTTAACCAAAAATCATATATATGTTAAAGTTACTGTGGTTA